TTTGGTCATCTCATTGATCTTTGGATAATAAAAATATGAGTTACCTCTTCCCTCTTGTTCATCTTTGTGAGTTTGTGAGTGCCCTTCTTTGGCTCAAATGTTATCATTTGATCAGCCTTGGGTGCCAGTTCACCACATTGTTCCACCTCTAGGGAACCAGCTTTTAAAATCAATCAGAATCAGTTGTTATCGGCCTCTGGATCACAGTACATCTGAAAGGAGGGGGGAGTTGATCTTTGATGACTCTGTCACTGGGGAGAGGTGGTTTCCCTTCATCACTTGTCACCCCCACCATCTCACCTGCAGCTGCGTGCTCAGCTCCACGCCGTTGTTAAGCACGCAGACCTGCTGAGCTGGTGTTAGACTAATCATAGGTTTACATGTTTTCTGTCTAAACCACACTGATTTAACTCGGCCATGCTCAGCACAAAGCTCCAGACGTTAGCAAGCTGCAGCTTTAGGGATGCTTACTCTGGCGGTTAGAAAAGGTGTGCTGCTTACTCTACAGGTCGTCCTCTTCACAGCCGCAGACATTACACAAAAGATAGTTACTGTGCATGGACACACCGACAGCCAAGATTGAAACATGGCAGATGAAAGATGTGAAAGTCTGTTCGGAACAATGCCTAATGAGTTCAGTGGAAACAGTGCGGAGAAACCGATGGGTTTTTTTTTTTTTTTTTGAACTTTTCTGCGCCTCCATATCTCTGATAAATTCATGTGAAACTGCTCAGAGAGCCGCATGCGTGCGAGTTTGTACCTGCTGCAAACTTTCTGTCAGAAAGGAGGCAGCGTCTCCGAAGACACTCTGTAGCTGCAGCTGTACAGGCTCTGCAGCTGAGGTTTCCCTTGTGGCTTCTCTTGATTCAAAGCATGCCTAAATGTAGGTTGTGTTTTGCTCTGCTGGGGAAGTTTTTTTATTTTTTATTAGATGAGGTGACATTTGAGCAGCTCTGAGAGCGTTCGCACCTCGGTCAGTGTGCCAACATGTGTCTTTCTGGCACTCTGTGTTCCTTTTTTTTTTTTTTTACGTATAGGTACTTGGCTTCTGACTGCAAAGGAGACTGTGAGAGGACAGGAGAGGAGAGCACAGGAAGGGAGAAAGGATGGGAAAAGAAGAAAGAAGGAGGAGAGTGCTGATATGAGGGAGTAGGGAGGAGGTGAAAGCATGCAAGTCAAAAAGGAGAGGAGAGAAGAACAGAAGGAAGGAAACAACATGTGGACCAGGAAGGAGACTATATGTGCAGAGAATAGAAGAGAGGAGATCTAAGGCAGAAAAAAAAGGTCATGGGGAGTTAAGACAAGGCAAAAAGGAGAGGAAGGAGTTTAAGAGAGGGGAGGAGAGGAGAAATAAAGAGAAGGAATGAGAGGAGAAGGAGAGTCCTACTGAACACTGTGGCCTTTCAGTAGTGCTGCCAGAGAGGGAGTTTAAAGCAGCACAGTGTGTTCTTTACCAATCCATGCCCACTCTGTCTCACACAGCCCTCTTTTTTCATTTCTGAAATAGCACACACACACACACACACACACACACACACACACACACACACACACACACACACACACACACACACACACACACACACACACACACACACACACGCAGCTGCACCACCTAGACGCCCATACTGCAACCAGTTGTTGAGTCATGGCGTATGCAGTCTTGTAATTCAGTTTCAGGAGTCACACGACAATGTGAACTTTCATTTAATGGGTATAGTGTGACATCAGGGATCATCACAGCTTGTTGCTAAACATAAACTCTTGCTGGTTGTGTGTGTGTGTGTGTGTGTGTGTGTGTGTGTTTTAGGATGGTGAGCTAAATCTGAGTTGTCCACTTGGATCACAACGCTGTGGCTTCACATTCCATGCCTTTTTCTCCGGCTAACAACCACTGTTTCCTGTGAGGCAGGAAGTCAGCTCTGTTTCCTGTCACAGTCCTCTTTCATGTGGTCACTTCCTCCTGTTTTGCCAGGGTTGCTCTGATCTGTTGCCTCGGTAAACGGAGGTGCTGCTCCTGGCGGCGCGCTCAGGCACAACACAGAAAATGTGTTTTTAAAGCCTCTCAGCATTGACCGATACATCCATCTAAACTGTCTCCATCGTCTTGTTTTCCTTTTTATGGCCGGGAAAAAAGAAACAAAAAAACTCCACTTTCCGAGATAGGACATTGTTATTGTCACATTTTCATACAACACAAGATAGAATGGCCCTCATGTGAGGGTTATCGGAGTTCAGTTGTGTGAAATTGTGGGTTTTGTAACCTTGCTGAGGAATGTTGATTGTGATGGCTGCCTGGCTGGGAATCCTGCCTTTACTGTTTCCTAAGAGATACTAACACGTTGGCTCTGATTACGATTGAACTTTGCACGCAGTGATTAGTTGGAATGTTAAGATTCTGTGTGCTGCAGCCAGAGATAAATATGTGTCACATTCAGACGCAGGATCCAAGAGAAACACACTCTTATCTTGTCAAACATATTCTTCATTGAAATAGGAAACGAGAAAACATCAACAAAAGTAGCCGGCGTCTGTCCTACTTCTTATTTATGTTTGCATGTCTGTTTTTAAGTGTGTGTTCATCCTCCAAATAATCGCTTTTACGTCAAGATATCTCCGGCTGCAGTGGATTGAGCAACAAAATCAAAACCATTACTGCACTGCTGGTGGTCGTGATGCCATTCCATTAAAAACATGAGCCTGCACACACAAACGCAAACACACACACACACACAGACGAGGCTTTTCCATTGGCCCCAGCAGACACCCTTTAGCCACACTCCCCACACGGTACGCTGAGTCCTGCCGAGTTCTGGTATTTCCCATCAGAGCAGTTTTATGACCCTTCACTTGTACTCCCTCTTCTTCATCTGGACTGTTTTTTATGTTCTCCATCACAACAACACCCAGCGCATGACTGTGACATAAACTGAGCGGGGGGGACTCTAGCGCTTCTCGTCCTGTCATCAGGGTGATATAGGGTTGTAACAGGACATCCCGGCGTCTGCACTCACATTGCAGTCATTCCTCGCTGAAATTACCAGCACTCTCCGCGGTCATGGGAAGGAGAGGCTCATGACCAGACTTTACTCCTCGCCTTTTGTCATAGCTTCCACTGTGCAGGAGATGGGGGGGGGGGGGGGGAGCATTCTCTAGGCTAATCAGAGAGGCGCTGTCACGTCGGTCAGATCATGCAAACTAGCCGGAGACGATTGGCCGAGGCAGTCAGGTCATTTGAAGAATAATGTTCATTCACTGATGATTAAATTAGAGGAGAGTCTGAGAAAAGAGAGAGGAGAAAAGAAGTAGATCAAAGAGACATAAGATGTTAAAGAAAAGCCAAAGACAGAAAAAAAACAAGGTGTTGATCTTCACTAATGTAAAGGTGAAACAGGTAAAAACAGTTCTATGATCACTTCTACAGCTCAAAGAGGAGCTCTCCAACGTCTGACGGAATTGCCATGATGACGTCATAGTGATGTCACCATCTCTTCAAAATTTCACAACATTTAAAAGGCTTTACATTTAACAGAACTCTACCCAAGTTAAAACTCAAGCTTTTTAGTTTCAAAGATGTCTGAATCTACATTCAGACAAGGGACGTCAATCAAGTTGCATTGTGGGAAATGTGGGATGCCAGAGATTAAAGTCTGGAAGTACGCCAACTCCAACAAGAGTCACTTGTTAATGTTCTGAAGTAATTTATTTGTGAAAAATCTGAAAATGATTAACAAACAGAATTGATCTTTTGCCTTTTACATGCAAGCTTTGCTAATTTTCTCTTGTTTCTATTATATGGGAACGTGTGTCTTTTGGTTTTAGACAACACTTTGATCACTTCTCATAATTTCAGGGTCATTCTTTTTTATTTCACAGACTTTTAAAAGACTACACAAATAGTTGATCACTGACTTGAGAAATTAAATGGCATGGCAAGGTTTGAAATGGAGATATTTTAAAGTCACAGCATTAGAAGATGAGGAGAAGCAGAGGACAGGCTGAACCAGATGTGAGGCAGTGACTCACAGCAGGAACAGGCCTGATGACGTTAACCACTATGCACGCTAAGCTCTGCATGTGTGTGATTGTGCGGCGGGACTTCCAGCTTTCTTCCAAAACAACAAGCTGTACGCATGCACAGTAACGTCTGGCCAAGGCTCATTACTTCATGTTAGGGCCCGGACACAAAACCGCACAGAGCAACAGTGTAAGTTACTCTCTGAGGGTAGATGGTCACTTAGGCAACAGTTTGAGATGATTTAGAGTTTAGAAATAGTGAAAAAACAAAATCATTTTTGGACTTGAAAGTGTCCCAGCACAGTTGTAGCTCTAATAATGTCCGACAGAAACGGTAACTCGCTCTCTTTGGTTTGCTTATCAGACGGATTCTCGCTCTTGTTTGCAGACATTTAACAATGCTTCACTTGCTTCCTGCACAAAAATAAGTTTTTCCACTGAGGGTGTCACTAAGGAACGCTTGAGCGCACTATTAACGTGTCTGTGAGAGGAAAGATTAGTCTGTTTCCTCCCTTTGATTCTGTGCTGCTTTAGACAAGAGACATAGTCAGGTGGAATGTGATTGTTGGTTTAATGGTGTTTTTCAACGGCCCTCTGTGTTTTTGTGAAGGAAATAAAAGGCCTGCATGTACAGTATGTTTGGAGATAAGAGTGTGTGCAGTTTAAACCTTGCTCACTGCAGGATGTGTTGCCCATTCAGTGAACATACTCGGCACCTATTATGTGTGAGTGTGTACGTGTTCGTGTACATGTCTTTCTTTGGATTGCAAATGGCATTAGATTGTTGAGTGACCTTAAATCTCCCCTTTCTCCTGTGTATTAAGCTGTCAGGCCCTGTGTGTTTTTAAAAGAGAGCCACCTGCACGGATGGATTTGCACCTTTATACTAAGGCAGATGTGAAATGTTTTTTTCGGGAAAAGGGCAAACACACACCCCTCTGTTTGTCCACTCCTCAATAAGCCTTTCTCTTTTCCTCCTGCAGAACTCCATCAGACACAACCTGTCGCTGCACAGCCGCTTTGTTCGCGTGCAGAATGAGGGGACGGGAAAGAGCTCGTGGTGGATGCTGAATCCGGAAGGGGGGAAGAGCGGCAAGTCCCCGCGACGCAGGGCCGCCTCCATGGACAACAACAGCAAGTTCGCGAAGAGCAGAGGAAGAGCAGCGAAGAAAAAGGTACAGAAAGTCAAAAATAGGATTCACATTTGGTGGATGGTTTTATGTTTATGTTAGCCAATATCTTTTCTCGTCACAGCTGTTCATATTTCTATGAATCATGTTATAGTTTGATGATAATGTCTTAACTAGTTCTTTTAAAACTTTCTTATGTGTATTTAGCCTTTGATTAGCAGTGCTCATGATTTTTTTTAAATTGTTGTTGAAATGGTGTTTTTGACATGTTTCAGTAGTGATCAGTACCGCACGGTTCTTTATTGTCAATGGTTTCAACCTGTAATATATGATCCACTGACTGTCTCCACTCCACTTGGTCTATCAGTACACTAAGAGTCTTCTTTTACCCCAACAGCTGTCCCTGCAGGGCGGCCCTGACGGTGGAGCAGACAGCCCAGGCTCCTTCTCCAAGTGGCCCGGCAGCCCAAATTCACACAGCAACGACGACTTTGATGCCTGGAACAGCTTCAGGCCTCGGACCAGCTCCAACGCCAGCACCCTGAGCGACCGCCTCTCCCCCTTCATGCCTGAGGACGACTTCGCCGAGGCGGATGTGCACATGGGCTACCCAGGAGCCCCTGGGGCCAAGATGACAGCCACGCTGCCCAGCCTGACGGAGATGACGGGATCTCTGGGTCACAGCTCTGAGAATGTCATGGAGAACCTCCTGGACAACCTCAACCTGCTTTCTCCCAAAAACTCACAAGTTGGAGGAGGTGGGACAACCCCCTGCTCCTCCCAGTCCTCACCCTCTAACATGATGCAGCAGAGCCCAGGGTACCCTGCGTACAGCTCCCCCAACATGGCCCCGCAGCCCCAGCAGGAGTACCGCAAGTGTGTGTATGGCCAAGCGGGTATGAACACGCTGTCGTCCATGCCGCTGCAGACGCTGCAGGAGAGTAAACCCAGCTTTGGGCCAGGTCTGGGACAGTACAGCTGCGCTGCAGGGCTTCTGAAGGAGCTGTTGACAACAGACACAGACCAGCATGGAGACCTCATGCCCTCAGTGGACTCAGTGGTGTCTCAGTCCAGTGGGGGCTGCATGCTGCCGCCATACAGCAGCAACCAGCACCCGGCTAAACTGATGGGAGGAGGAAACGGACACCCACACGCTCTCTCCCACACTCGCCCTCACAATGTCCACAACCAGGCCCCATTAGCATCACCCGCAATGAACGGACGTCTGCTCATGCCCCTGAGCCACAGCGGGGTCACCACTCTTTTGCCTTCAGCCAAAAGCCAGATGCAGATGCCTTATGGCCTCTCCAGCCACCTGAGCGGTGGAGGAGGGATGCCCGGCGGATTCTGCCCGCTGAATACCAATGGATACGGACGACCTGGTCTACCACAGCCCTCACACACCGAGAAGCTGCCCAGCGACCTAGACGACATGTCCATCGAGAAGTTTGAGTTTGACATGGAGACAGTCCTCCACGACACTCTGATGGACGGCGCCCCCTTGGACTTTAACTTTGAGCCGATGGTGACCCAACAAGGTTTCCCCCACGGAGTGAAGACCACCACACACAGCTGGGTGTCAGGGTAGAAAAGTTCTGTTCAACTAACCTGTTGTTGCTGTTTGGTTGAAAAACATCAGAACTTAAACGGACAGACTTAAAGGATCGTACAAACTTTAACGTAGTTTCTACGCCATCAACATTTCTTTATTTTTCCTCACAATACTCTTCAGATCTCGTCAGGAGTCTGAAAGCGGCTGGGTCATCTGAGATCTGAGACTTCATCTCCATTAGTGCCCCTGAACTGGTGAAGATAAAAACTATCACATATATGTACAAACTTAGTGCCAAACTGTTTGCCTTAATATAAGAGCCAAACTGAAACACACCTCTCTGGTTTACTCCTTAAGGTCAGTGATAGCAGCATCACAATCTGTACAAGTGTTTGAACTCATACTGTGCTGTTTACTGTGTTTCCACAATCAAACTTCATGTACGTACAGAGTAGTGATAAGTGATTACCACTACAGGAGGAATATGAAGGTAATCTGGCAGACTGACATGATGTAAAGTTAGAGACTTCTCAAGGGATCCTCGGATGATGTTACACAATAACTCACTTTGTCATTGCCTGAATGTACATAATGTCATTGTACACTTTGTAAGATCAGTTCATGTAGTGAATTTTTTTTTTTTTTTTTAAAGTATGTAAATAGTGTTTACAGAGCGGAAGCAAAAACCAAGGCAGCAGAAATGAGCTCACAGAAAAAAAAAAAACTGGATCCGATTCTTGTTAAACCCACGTCTGTGTTTGAGGATTCTTCTTAATGAGGCTGTAAAACATGAATAACCTTTCTAATTTCTTGTACATAAGTTAAGAATGTATAATAACATGATGTAGAAGATGTTTACTAGATTAAGTATATATTTGAGACTAAATTATTTGTGGTAAATATATAAATTTATGCTGGTGCATTACCTGCACTCAGGCATCAGAAATGTTCAGAGTCGTTTTTCACTCTTGACCTTAATACCACAGAGGCCTGTTTATAGTGCCTGACACAGCAGATTTAGAGTTTTTTATCGTCATTTTTATGGTCCAGAAGATGCTCAAATCCAGCAGTTTTAAGAAGTACAGTGAATTCTTTATCCACAGTGTCCTTGTTTTGACTTTTCTGTAGGAGTGAAGAAGAAGTGAGTAAGAGTAGGTCGTTTGAGTAAGGGTTTCCTGAACGCATCACAGCGCTCTGAATGTGAAGAGGTCGAGGCTCGTTGGTGGATAAAAGATATTCTCAGTGATACTGTTGTTGTCACAAAGAGGCTGAGTCCAAGACATGTCTGTGACTGTCGCTAGAGACACTGAGATAGCAGCCTGACCCCCGCTTCAGCTTCAGAATCTTTGGACTTCTCTGTTTGGTCTCTAGGTTTTTCGCGTGACTGACCGATGTAACTCAAAGTTGCTTTCTGCAGAATCCACTTTTTCTGCTTTTAGTGAGACTCTACTTTCACTCTGTCCCTCCTACCTCTACCTATCTGTGTCTTTTTCAACATTTTATATAACCCTGACACGTGACTTGATGGCTCCAATCATCTTTTAAATAACAAGTCTGATCATTTTTTTTTTTTAAGATGCCCTTGAGAAGCGCCACTAAGTGTTAAGTATCTGATCATGCTTGTATATTTGCATTTCTGACTGGCTTTTCTAAGTTCTTGCTGCGCTAACAATGAGCTTGTCCGTTTAAACTGCCTTTTTGACATGACAGATTATTGTGTGATTAATCCAAACACCACATATATAAGTGGGTGTCTGATTATGTGTTGATAAATGCCCTAAGTATGTTGGTTTGCAATGAGGTGGGACTTGTGATGAGTTCAGGGACAACAAGAGAGGATGAAAATCCAAGCTTACATACTAGAGAGCAGTGAAGGCACATGATCGGACACAGCTGACATTGAGAAAGACAGGGAGCAGAGCAGGTTTAAAAGAGTCAAATTAAATTGTTAACATTTCAAAAGGCCCTCTATGGACGCCGAGAAAGAAGCTGCTGTTTGGCTTTGGTGCCAGGTGTTGCCTTTTCTTACCCAAACATGCCACAGTGTACTATAGCCAAATCTGCCTTTGAAGTTAAAGTGATATATTTAGCATTTCTATCATGTGATATGTTCAGAATTATATATATATATATAGATATATATAGATATATATATATATATATATATATATATATATATATATATATATATATATATATATATATATATATATATTTGTGCCGGTCACTCAAGCCAGGATAAACTGTAATGAATCCATGTAGTTAGTGTCACAGGGTTCACTTTGAAAGTTAAAGAGCTGTACTAAGTAAATTATATCTCTACATTTTGAAATGATTGAATCTATGCATTGTATTTCTTAATTTTGTGTTGCTATTGATATATTTTCTTTTCCCTTTGAATTTATGACAGAGATATTTTATTGTAACATAGCGCTGTGAGATATTAATGGTGTCGTTGTTGTCAAAACTCTATGTTCCAGATAGTTCTTCTATGGGGAAAAAATGAAGTTGATTTAGAAAGTAGATGATGCAGTGATTCATATGCTAAGCTTTTGTAAACTGACAATGTTGTATTTCTTGTAGTTTTTAGCTACAGTTTTTAGAAAATAGCTTCAAAAAGCAAATGACTAGAAAAAGTAAAAAGGTATATTGAATTTTTAAAAATGAAAAACTAAATTTTTAGTCTGAAATGATGTCCTGCTCAGAACGCAGACTCTGGACCAATTTTGTAATTTTACGAGTAGAAATATATATATTTCACTTTTACTTACATTTTATAACAAAGTGCTCCTCTGACACGAGGAAGAGTTCCCGTTACACATTTGAATATCAAATCTGTTACATTTAACGTATACACAGATATCAATTGGGCTTATGCTGTTTGATTTGCAATCAATACCAATATGTTACTTGTTCAATATTAATGTATTAAGACCTGAATAAATGTACTTCTGTGTTAAATGTGTGTGCCATTTGTCATTTTACAGTAAGAGAGATATGAGGATTTTAATCTCAACACCTGGGAGTTTAGTCTTTTAAGATCCGTCACCATGTAATGAAGAGTGCTGGGAGAAAACCAGTAAGAGGAGCATTGAGCTAAAACTTTATTAATGAAAACATCAGTTGGAACGACCCAGGTAACCTATTTTTTTATGTTAAAGTTGTAAGTAATCTATGCTACTGTAACATAAGACTTCTGTTTCTAATACAGGCGCGCATATATATATATCTCTCTCTCTCTCTCTCTCTCTCTCTCTCTCTCTCTCTCTCTCTCTATCTATCTATCCTGACACAAAGTTCCTACAGGTATACGATTGGATGTCTGGTTGAAAACTAACTTAGCCTACATGTTATGGGGCCTTGTTTTAAGCTAAAGCTACAAGTCAGAGATCTGTGCTTCATAATATTGGCCAAAGTTAATATCCCCTCAAAAGATATCAGCTGCTGACCCAAGTACACAAATCAGTATAAAAACCCCGCCAATCCCTTATTCTATATTTCTATGAAGCAGTGAGTATTTTGCCCTTGTATCTAAACTGGTATTTTCAGATGAGATGATGGTCTGGCCTATTTATCTAAAACAACAGACCAACTATACATTACTGGGTTAAAGTGACTCTTGTGGTGTAAAAAGACAGTCCTTAACAAGACATTCAATAAAGTCCCGGAGTTCTTAAAGGTGAAGTATTATATTATGTATTTGTCATTCAAAACATTAACAAGTCAGGAGATATAGTTGACAGTAACTACTATAAGAGATCTATCAGCACAGCTCTCAACAGATACAGATTCAAGTATTTTATTAAACAGTTCACTTTAATCAGTTCCCTGCTTTTACTTCCACTCAGTTTATCTTGTAAAGAACACACTGTTACAGGAGGATGAAGGACAGGAGGTTTAAGCCATGTGAACAGACTTTAAAAAAATGAAAAATAAAGACTGAAAATCTCGTCTTGAATGCTGCTCTCCCAGTTCTGGCGTCTCAATTCTTCTCCATAATGATTCCTCCTGGCTTTTCCTTACAGCCACATTCCACACCATGCACCCCCTACCACTGAACCCGGTCACCCCAGACTGCAAACTGCACAGCTTCTCCGGGCCATGTGTCTTTGACTTTGAGTTGTAAGTACAAGATAACCTTTAACTGAACAAGCCGCTGGGGACCCGTCTTATAAATAGTCCTGGCTATGAAGTTTTCCTCAGAAGTGACTGTTTAGACTCATTCCAGAGCTCATTTGTTTTAAAAAATGAACACTTTACAATTTTTCTGCTGCTCATCCCTAAAGGGGTTAACTTCACAGTGAAGAAAATGTCTATGAAATCATTATCAGCTTCCCATCACAAGAGCTTGACAACCCTATTTAATGCAGAAGGATTAAAGTTTGTTCAGCCTGGAGCATGGAGAGGAGAGCATGTTGATCTCAACTGAGTTCAAGAAGTAGCGCTGTGTTCTATGTCTCCCTGCGTAAAGGAAAGAACTTGAGTGTTTGAATTTCTTTACAGCGCACAGCAATGTGGGCCAAGGTTTTGGTGTCAGAGTTTAGAGGGAGGGAGGGGGAAGGGGGGGCAGAGAGGACGCTTGTGAGCACATAGCTGAGGAATGTGGGTGTGGACTCCGGCCAAAGGCATATGTGATCCTTATGTTCCCCTGAGTAAGAGACGGCAAATGCAGTTAGAAGGTTGGGGCCATGTCAGGACACACTGGTGCAGTGTGAGGACGTGGTAATATGTCATGGAGTTCACTCTCTATGCTGCTTTTGTTTGCAGTATCTCCCTGTGCCTTTGTATTGAATTTGAGACTTTGAGTTAGAGAAACGTTCAAAGAGGAGTCCTTGCACAAGAGGGAGTGATGGAACCATGACTGAAAGAAAAAGAAGAACTCCTTTAATAGGAATTTTGACATTCCCTTCAGGACCCATTTAGTCAATATTTACAAACACAGGACCCTCAACACGAGAATACTCTTACTTTTCTTTGCTTTTGTTGTAGTTTAGAGCTAGATGCATGCACCCGGTGTACTGACGCTGTCATTTATGCAGCAACCCTGGGTTTACTGAAGGCCTCGGCCCAGCATGTCTTCCCCAGTCTCCCTGTTTATATTTCCTGTCTCGTTTGACTGTCTATCTTATAAGGGCAAAGTTCTAATAGAAAAAAAAGGACATAATTAGGAAAACTTAAAATCAACTTTCCGCCCCTTGCCTGTTGATAGTGAGATTGTTCCAGTTATTACAAGTGTTACAAGAGAAGATAATTGATGGAACTGAATTAAAGCTAAATAAACTATTCACTGATTAAGAAAATAGCTGAAATTAAGATAGGAGACTAAGATAATTAGAAAGACAAGGGACATAAACAAAAGTACATGCGGTTTATAGTCATGCGGAAGTGCAAAATCCTGCAGTTCGTCGAGTGTCAGCTTGAGGCTGGCTACATGAGCTCTGGAAGATTGAAAAACCAAATAGGTCTGATTCATGTCTCGATCGGCACACACTGTACCGATCTTTTGATAACTGGTATGTTTTGATTTTAGAACTGATAAGCGTTATTCACAATAAGAACCCGCCTCAGCTCCAGCTATTAGTCTGTCGTTAGGTTGGGACAACTTTTGCAGCATGGTGACCGCCATCGATGGGACTCCAAAGCCCCCTGCAGTAACAGATTGGTGACGTCACTCAGGCTTGGTCCACTAATATTTACAGTCTATGGTTATGATGCGTATTAGGTGTAAGATCCACAAAGCTTTATTCGTATGAAGTATCTTTAAATGAGATTACAATTGGACTCTGGGTTCACTTGGGCTAGAAAATAATATTCTTGGGAAATGTAAACAGCAAAATCAATTTCAAATTGATCCAATGTAACCAATGCAAAATGTTAGAAAGGTAAATACAAGATAGCATTTGAGACTTATTGTATCTACTGTACTTTTCTTTTCCAGCCATCAAGCAAGTCTGAACATGCACATTTGTGCATGAGAGAGAGAGTGTTGGAGGTGTGTCTCCAGGGCTCTGTGAGCGACACAAATAAGTCTCACAGAGACTTTGGACCCAAAAGACAACCAGCGAAGGGGCCTGTAACTACTGAAGTGCCGATGTGGAGGACAGAGCCCATGGGTGGCCATCAGCATCAGCTGAGTCTACCTCCTGTACAATGGAAATTGATCCAGTAGATCCTTACAAATAATTTAATATGTCTGACAGTTCATCTGGGTCATTTTTAGTTTGATCTACCTGCTTTTTTCTTGTGCAAGACAAACTGATATGTTTTTACATTAAGTCCCTTTGAAGTCCTAACTGCATCAGAGTATTAAAAATCAAATGAAAATGAAAATAATGTTTGATGACTTGTGAATCAATGGGACAGAACAGGATTGATGTCTTACCAAATTGAATTGATTGAAATGAATACTATTTGTAAATTAATATGTACAGCTCATTTAGTTGAGATATAAAAAACCTTCCTTTGGCAGAGGGGTCCCTTAAATAGGCAGTAGCTCAGTCTTGGGTTGGGAATCGGAGGGTCGCCAGTTCAAGTCCCGGCCATAGGATCTTATTTCAGCGTGTGTGTGTTGCATGACTTACAGAGTGTAAAAACAGAATCTCAGAACATAATGATGGTTGGAGGGGCCCCCAATTAATTATGCCCAGGTTCCCAACAGACTCTAGAATCACCACTGCTGCCACCACAAGTCCTCAGTGTGCCTGTAGTCCTGTGCATTTTGCTAGGTGGAGCAATCATAGCATGGAGGGAGCTAACAACAAAGGCTAATCATTTTGGATGGATCAAGCTTGTTACCCCACAACTTCTTTGGCTTCTTTGAATATCTGCAAAGCTAATGTTTTAAGTGATGTTGGTAGATACGTTCAACCAAACAAAGAAGGCAGATGAAACGGGGGAAAAATAAATAAAGAAAAGGCAGACAAAAGAAAGCAGAGCAGTTAACTATGTGGGGTGCTTGCAATAACGTGAGCAACTTCCCAGTGATGGTTTGAAATCGACAAAACATTTGTAACAAGGTACAGTTTGACATAATGTAAATTTTCTCAGAGGGCTCTGGCCTCTAGACGTATGCAAAAAAAACTTATCAGCAAAGTAAATGGATGTAAAAGCTCTGAGCTTCACTGCAGTGCTATGACATTTGTCCATTTGCTCATTCAACATTTGGCTGGTTGGACATGAGCTGATGCCACACAGTGCGGTGCACGAATGACACTCAAGCAAATCTATTTCAACTGCCATCAAAGAAAGGCTTTATTGGTTCACCACAGTGCATGATGTTTTTGGAGACGATGCTAGCAACTCGAAAAAGTTCAAGTCCGTATCAGAACTTAAAAAGGTCGAGCAGTGCATCACCCCGGTTCATCATACATCGCCACTTCTTTTCTTTTTTTCACCGTCCTATAGAAACCCTGTTGGGCCAACAAATGCCACTATGAAACAGCACACTTTTAGAAATGGAAAGACGAAATGAGAAAGACGAAGCGGGACAGAGAAAGTAAAATAGAACCAGATGTAGTAGCTCAAATGTTGTGAAAGTTGAGAGGAGACAGCAAAGCCTGAGGATGTGATTTGTGTCCTTACTTGACCTCTGCAGGAGCTTTGATAAGACATCCCACAGGCATGGCACACACACACACACACACACTCTGATCTGATTCTTTCTGTCTCTTTATGAGCACCACTGCTCCTCCCTGTGTGATGAATGCATCGCTGGAACTGATTAGACACATATGACTTTAGGTTCCAGGTTAGTTACATTCCACATCAGTCTTTGCTCTCTGCAGCCTTTGTACTGTCACACTGTCTTCCTTGAGGAGTCCTTGTTAACCACCTCTGACATTATATTAGTCTCTTTCATCGCAGTACTACATATATATATCCCCGGGGGGGGGGGAATCTTGGGAAATGGAGCTAGACAGAGCAGAGTCTGTGAGAAAGACTTTTTCTGAAGCCTAAAGTGT